GAAACGGCGGGAGCTAAGACACAGCCTTGCTTCACACCAGTGACAACTGCAAAGTCATCCGAGGTCTGTCCACTCAGCTGCACCCTCGCCCACATACCAATATGACGACATTCAATTAAATTTACAAATTTACCCGGACAACCAAAGTTACCAAATACCAGCCACAATGCTTCGCGGTTCACCGTATCAAACGCTTTGGTAAAATCAACAAAACGGGAGTACAACGGCTGGTGTGGTTCTCTGCATTTCTTTTGCAACTGACGAGCCGCAAATACCATATCTATAATGTTGCGATCCGAATGGAATCCGTACTGCGCTTCCGTCGCGTTCGGTTCCACAACCTGACTAACGAGTCGGTTGAGCAGAATTCGGGCAATCACCTTGCCCACATAACTCAGCAAGTTGATGTCGCGATAATTTGTGGCACATTGCTTTCTTCCTTTGCCCTTGTACAGTGGTAGCACAAGGGCATCCTTCAGCTAAAGAGGCACCTTCTCTCAATCCGTACGCGTTGCACCAAGTGGTGCAGCCCATACAGAGATAACAACCATCAATACGCACATGGGTTTGTTCCAATACACAGACTTCCATTTGGAATACATTCTGCAACAGCAACATTTCGGAGAATTATTGACAATTTAGTGAAAGGAACACCCGCTGTATGGTCTTATCTAGATGGCATTCTAATTTCTGGCAGCGCTGACGACGAACACATGACATCGCTTACGACGGTCTTGAAACGTCTCCAAGAGAGTTGATTCAAGCTGAAGAAATACAAAGGTGTATTTTTCGCAGACAGTTTTCAGTTCCTTGGATTTCGTTTGGATAGACACGGTTAACACCCGCTAAGAGAAAAAGTCCAGCCCATTCTTGGCTCTCCGAGACCATGCAACATCAGTGAGTTGCAATCCTTTCTTAGTATGATAACCCACTATAGTCGCTTCCTACCTGATTTGGCCACAACCATCGCATCACTGTAAGCTTTACTTCGATAAAACGCCAAGTGGTAGCGGTCAGCTAAGGAACAAACATCTTTCGATGCCGTCAACGCAGCCATGGATAAGGCCAATTTGCTGGTACATTTTGATCCGAGGAGGCCCATCACTCTCCGATGTGACGCCTCAGCATCAGAGCTCGGGGCCGTACTGTCCCACAAGATGGGTGATCAGACCGAGAGACCCATCGCTATTGCATCTCGGAGTTTAGCATCGGTAGAGAAAAATCACGCACAACTAGATGAAGAGAAGTTGGCGTTTACACTCGGTGTTTAAAAAATTTTACCAGTATATCTGGGGAAGAGGTTTAGAAATCTTTCTTGATCATAAACCCTTGGTGAAAGTAAAGGCATCAACCAAATATCATCTCCTCGCATGCAATATTGGGCCTTATTGTTAACGGCTTACAATTACGCTATCTCTTAAGTCGCAGGAAAAGAAAATGGCACTGCGGATACCTTGAGTCGATTGCTGTTGAATCACATGGCAGATTGTGGTATTGGAACCAACAGAATTAGTCCATTTAGTGTAGCACGTGATCAGGAAGCCGGGGTTGAATGCGGATATCCGCCGTGAAACAGGGCGTGATGTAGTCCTCAGCAGTTAAACGTTTGGTCTTCTAAGCATGGCCCGATAAATGTGACACGGAATTGTTGCCTTACCTCACCCGGCGTACGGAAGTAAGCCTCGAGGATGACTGTCTCTTATGGGGGTCCAGAGCTATCATACCACCTAGGTTACGACAGCACGTGCTGGAGGAACTGCACGAATCCCACTCAGGTATCATCAAGATGAAAGGGCTCGAGCGGCCCGGCATTGATAGTGAGGTAAAAAGATTAATCAGACAATGTATATCATATCAAAATACACAAACAAACGCCCCACCGGTGCCACTGAGTCAGTGGAAATGGTCCGACAAGCCGTGGGAGCGCATTCACGCAGACTAGTTTGGTCCACTTGATGGAAAGACAAATAAATAAATAAATAAATTCTTTATTCTCGTGCAATGTGAGACACGTCTATGTAGGCATGATCAGGTGCTTCTTTTTATAGTCGATGTCTATTCCAAAAGGAGTGAAGTACATTCGCTGGTACACGTCACTTCCGAGTCAACTGTTTTCTGAATGCGAACATGTTTTAGGACATGCAGTATTCCACAAACACCAGTGACAGACAACGGCTCTGTATTCGCTAGCCAAACGTTCCAAGAGTTCTTATAAAATAACGGCATCAGATATATGAAGATCGCCCCTTACCACCCAGCATAAAGTGGAGGAGCGGAAAGAGCAGTCCAGACAGTAAAAAACGTGTTGCGGGAAGAATCACCCACTCCACTCCGGAAGTTGGACGTATTTCAATTCGTTTACCACTCCACCCCAAGTGGAACGACAGGCAAGAGTCCAGAGGAACTGATGTTCGGCCGAGCGCATAGAACGCCGGTAATCTACTATTTGCCGACCAGAGACTACGCATCAAGATGCGACAAGAGAAAACAAGAGGTGCGATCAAAAGACACCAGATCGGCAACTACGTGAAGAGGAGCCAATTTGTGTCAAACTGCCCCGCGAACCGACTTGGCAACCTGCAGTTACGCGAAATTGAAGACCATAGAGTGAAGGTTGCAGTATCGGACAATCAATCGACAGCAGTAGGTCAGCCATCTGTACTAATGCTTCGCTGCCATACAACCACGATGACCTATGAAAAAAGGATAATAAGAGGGAGAGAAGGGTGACTTACCTGAAAACCTTAATGCCCTAAGCAAACATTCAGGGTCAAGGCGCCTACAAAAACAGCTGGCTATCGTGCAAAGATAAGGCGGCATCGGCGAGACAGCTTGCTTCCGGCTTTCACTGCCACGCGTCATAATCAGCCATTACCCATCAGATAACTCAGCACCAAACACACTTTAAAAAGGCAATCAGGTTAGGAGACGGCAGCAGACGCGCCACTGGTGTCTAGTGCGAGCCACGTCCTGTAAAATCTCGAGCTAAGCACAAGGCCAGTCACTTGGACTCCAGCCCGGAAGGCGAGAAGGACCAACGGCACACAATTTGGTCGTCAGTGACTTCATTTCCAGCTGCCAAGTCAACTTCTGTCCACTTCGAGCTTTGCGCCGTCCTACATCTGGCAGACTAAACAAGACCCTCCTAGGTAAGCAGTGACCAGGCATACGTAGCAAGTGCCCAAGCATATGCAACTTATTCTGTGTTATCTCTTGTTCTAGGGAGCTAGCATGATTATCACTACCTAGTACACGCCTATGCACATCATGCCTGCGGACACGCCGGTGAAATTCGGCACCAGGAATACTCCGCAGAAAACGATGATCAAAGACTTGAACGCACCTCAGATCTTCAGACCGAAGAGGCCAAGTCTCACTCCCGTAGAGTAGGACGGCCCTCACTGTGGCCTTGTATACACGGTTTTTCAGACGGAGGGAAACTCCCTTCTGTCCCCAAAGATACCGGAGGTGCAGAAAGGCAGTTCCGGCCTTTGCAATGCGTGAACTGACTTCAATTTCTATGCGCCCGTCGTTGTTGATGCAGCTGCCAAGATAAATGAATTGATCAAGCACTTGGAGTTCCTCGTTAGTAAGCGTCAAGGGGTCATAGTATCTGGTGGTCCTGCAGCAACACTTTGCACTTTGAAAGTGCAAAACGCATACCAAATAATGGGACCACCTTCGAGAGGCTATGTAGGGTTGATTGTGCCGCCGCAACACCGTCGAAAAGCAACACGACATGTCCGCGTAATCAAGATCAACCAACCTTTCACCAGGCAGAATCTCAACGTCTACATCGTGAGATTCCGCAAGGGAAGACTCCATGACAGAGTCCCCAATGAAATTAAACCAGAATGGGGAAATCGGACAATGCTGACGAACGCCACTTGTGGTCGGAAAGCTATCAAACAGGTCCCAGTAGACTGTGACGCGGCCTGTAGCGTTCGAGTATAGGGCACGTAAAATGTTCACATATTTCGAAAGTATTTCGCGCAAGCATTTTGAACAGAATGGATCGATCGACTGAATCGAAGGCACTCTTAAATCGAGGAACAGAACTATTATCGGTCTGCGGTATGTGTGGTGCTGCTCCAGCACCTGCCGCAGAGTGAATATATGGTCTATACAGCCACATCCTGGGCGGAAACCTGTCTGCTCTTCCCTAATCCGAGATTCCCGTTCCACAGTGAGGCGACGAACGAGAATCAAGGCTAGTAATTTTGTCAAAACTGGCGTTAGGCTAATACCCCTGTGGTTAGAACAGTCTGAGAGACTGCCCCACTTGTATATTGCCACTGTAATCGACTCGATCCAGTTAGTCAGGACACTTCCTTTCAGATAAGTTCGAATAGGGAGGTCAGCGCTTTGCAGAGGACTTCACCTCCATCCTTAGATAGGGCAGGTGGGATGGAATCCGAGCCAGCGGCACGAAAACGGACAACAGGGTGATTACCCGTCATATGGATCACGTCCACCGTCGTTCCGTTTCAACCAAGCCAGACGAAAAATTGCCAAGCCCGTCAGCCGGAACAATAGTCGCAGAGGCTACATAGACCACAAGTCGACCAAAAACTCAACCAATACGCCGTTCGACTAGTTCGCCATCCAGTTGATCATTACCAGACTGTCTGGGGGAGTGCCAAATAAAGGAGGAGTGTGGCGTATGAGTCACTATCTCCAATCCGTGTCACACCAGCATCGACCGTATGCGTCGTCCGTCTAGCGATTACCCACTCACAAGTGTCTTGGCTTCAGTTACTTGATCGATGCTCTGTACCCACGCTTGCCAGAATACACGTTTGCGTGCCGTCAGCTAGTCGTGTTCCGTTGTCGTTACATCGTTCGGCTACGAACGATTATGGCTTTCGCAGACTAGCGTTACTTCCGCACCTGTAGACTTTAACTGCGCCACGAGCTAAGACAAGCGAGAAAGGTAAATAGAAAAAAGACGAACACATAAACAAAGAACGATTAAAACGTTATCTGGGATGGAGACGCACCTCACAAGTCACCTTGTCAAGACCACCACGGCTAACAGTGGGGCCCAATGTAGAATTCAGCGTCAAGCGACCAACGCCGTCGGTATCAACCTTGCACAAGTCATTTAACAAAACATTGGAGGGATCAGTGCCATGTAACTGACTCCCGATGTAGCGGAAAACTAGTAAATCTACCGCATTTTCAGTTTCCGTGCGAGGCCTTTTCAACAGGTTTTGAGCTTCGAAGCTGTTTACCACAAGTAAATCATCTCGTAGGCGTTTTATCCGTAGGTACACAGTCATGAATCTGTAAGAAGAGAAAATAGAGTTTGTAACAAGACACTTTCAACAAGGAAAACGGTTCGGGATGCATTGGAAAACAGACAAAATGTGTTTGAATTCCATAGTGGATGAAATAGCTTGCAGTCGTAAGCATGGGCAAAGTACACACAATTTAAGGTCTGAAGAAAAGAAGGTCTGCGACTGCCTTTTCCCATCCTTTAAAAGAGTTCGAAAGAATTTAACAATACTTCAACTCACTGAGGGGTGGGGCTCAAAGATAAAATGCTCGCACAAACTGTGTGACGGTAATGCAGTGTAATCCAAAGTCAGCCACTTAGACATATTGATTACTGAAAACTGAAGGGAACAATAATCTGAATAGACGCAGTCAAATCAAATGTAAAAAGCAAAAGTAAAATCAAAAGTAAAAGAAAGTATACAAAATGCAGTGTGTGATCGATATACGTTCGGTAAATAGTTGAATCCACGGCTAATGTATTTCAGGTTGTAGCTAACCAGTTCAATGCAACCCATCGCCAATAGAAAACTAAACGGAATGACAATCAGTTCATCAGAAGAAAATAATACGATCAATGGATGGTCATCTCATCTTCCGAAAGCGTCCAGTGATATGAACAAGCTGTTAGCTTATGCGGAAGTGTTGCCAAGAAGGGAACGGTAAAAAAAAACTTTCCAAAAGTATCAGCAGTACGTCGGTACTGCGTACCGACGCTACGCGGCCGCGCAACCATCACCGGTCGTACGTGGGCTGAGGAAACTGCGTGGGTTGCCCTGCCCCTAGGCAGGTTCGAACCCGCGCCGCCAGAGTACAGGACAAGTTTGTTACCTTTAGGCTACGGGCCGGCCCAGAAGCAGCAGCGAAAGATGCTGAAGGCGACCGCACCTATCAAATACAAATCAGCACCGTGAGATTGTGCAAGAGAACACTCCATGATGAGGTTGAGCAAAAGTGGGAAAAGTGAGTAAACATGAAAGTGCCAGTTAATGTCCAACAGATATCTGATACTTTACAGTAGACCCTGACGCGACCTGTGGTGTTCGAGCGCAGGACACGTATTTCATGGAAGCATTTTCCGGCGCAAGTATTTCAAACTGGATGGAGCAATCGACGGAGTCGAACGCATACTTGAAGTCAAGGAACACGACTAATATCGGTCTGCGGTACGTGGCGCTGCTCTAGCACCTGTCGCGCAGTTTATCTATGGTCAATACAGCCACGTGCTGGGCGGAAACTTGCATTCTCTTCCCTAGTCCGGGATTCCCATTCCGCAGTGGGCAAAGGTCAAGAATTTAGGCTTGTGATTTACGCAAGCGGGAAATTCCCACTTCATTAATAAGGACAAGGGACCGAAAGTAAACAATTGTTTTCCATGATTTATCGTCAGACCTGTACATTCAGATGAGCAAAAAATGCTGGGTGTAACAGTAGGATTTCTTCCACCGGGGCCACATACAGTCGTACGTTGATCCTTGCACTGAACCATCGAACCGACTGGTAAATCTCTGGAAAGTTTCCTCATGTCGACTCAGGATTTCATCATCATCTTGGGTTATGCTAATGCCCCAGTGGTTAGCAGTCATTGCGACTGCCCTTCTTGTAGAGTGCCACTATAATCGATTTCCTTTAGTAACTTGGGATGACCGTTTCCTTCCAGGTCTGTTCGAACAGAGGTCAGTGGGTTATGGTCATCAAGATCGTGCCTGGCTGCTCCGAGTGGCTGTTCGAGAACAACTGTCCGCTCCGATTGATCGATCAAGTAGGTCAGGCCATCAGACAGGAAACAATGACATGGCGCAAAGCACCGATACGCATGCGCTCTTGATGACCTTCTTGAACCTTCGCCTTTCACTTCCATCCATTACTTACCAACAATAGTATTGGATTGTCCGGAAAATTCTTTTGGTCAACCAACCCGATTATTCTACTTGATTATTGGAAAATGGTTGGAATTTGGTCCATGTAGGGTTCACTGAGCCGTTCCTTAGATGCTTATCTTAACACCTCCCCGTTTGAAGTTCACTGTTATACGATTTCAGTCTGGGGTGGTCCTAGAGCGGCGTGACGGAAACTCGGCAGCGATCTGTCCATCTTCTTAGCGGACAACTGGGTGTAGGAGAGTTGGTGAAGTGATAGGCTTCTGCCGTTGATAGTTTGAACCCGTCAAGACGTATTTCAAGAGGCGTGGTCGAATGAAGTGTAATTCCCGAGTTGATGTGGCGAACCTATTTGTCATCGCCTAACGTCACTTCCTAGCAGACATATTCATGTCTTTTGATAAACAATTCAGGTGTCCAAGAGAGTTCGTTGTTTTAATAGTCCTTTACCAACACCATCCGTCCAATGCCAAAATGCCCCGGTATAACGTGACGTCTACGATTGTACTAACAGGCCAGTGCCCAATTTCTTTCGGAGTTGAGTTTATCCAGCGGCCTTATTAGATCAAATTTCGTTCGATGTCTTCCGTGTAAAAGCGATTCTGACGGGCTTCCCCTTAGGTGTAGTCCTGTATGTTAAAATAAAAGCCTACAGGACCTCCTGAACTGGTCCGTCTCCTCCAGCTTTACACAAACCTTTATTGAACGTATCCACAAATGTTTCGGCTTGTTCATTGGACTGTGGATGATGCGGTGAGCATACGTGCTCCATGCTGTGTAACGCAGAAAAGTTAGTCAGACACGAGATAATTACGTGGCGCAGATCACCGCGTTCTTGCTGACTTCAAATCTTCACCATTCTCATCCATTCTTCAATTATTAATAATGGTATATGATTGTCCGAGAACACTCCTTTGAGCAACTAATGCGAATAGTATACTTGATTTCTAGAAAAAAGATCGGAATTCAGAACATGTAAGGTTCTTGATCCGTTCCTTAAGTGCTCTTCAAAACCGAGCGCTTTGCAAAGGACCTCACCATCATTCTCATTTGTGCGGTTATACAGGAATTCGGGCCAGGATCTCAAGTTCAACTTCAAGTGGGACTGGAACGATAGGATGAATCCCGTAAGTGTTCCATCTTGAGCGGGTCGTCGATCCAGGAGTTGATAGGGGTACTCCGACTTCTTGATGGGTCTAAAAGGAAAACACCCGAAAAGCACCCTGGTCCACCAATATAATGCCAACGTTCCTTACATTAGCTGTCCTAGCTATGTCAGTTACGTGAAGTAAGAGAGGAAGAAAAATCGAAGGTAAGAGAGTAAGGGCAATCAGTTAAAAGAAGAGAATAATACCAATGGCGAGGAAAGAGTAAAGAAAATAAAATCGAAGTATAGAGATGGAAATTAGTCAGGAAAAAAGGAAAGGTTTCGTGTTGCCACCCAAGAGTGTCTAGTTGACGCTCAAACCCCTTAACCGTAGCTTCCTTGACAACATTTTCTGGAAGCAGGTCCCAGCGCTCGATGACTCGACGCGATAACCGTGTCTCCGCTCTAACTCGATCGGACCGCGGTTTGTCCAGCTTCATACAATGCCCGCGGAGACCAGATAATCTAGCAGGACTAAATAGCATGGACAAATCAGGGCCAACCTTCCCAGTCAAAATACGGTAGGTTAGGATTAGGTCCCCTCTAATCCTTCGATAGTGCATTGACTGCATTCCCAAACTAAGTAGGCGTTCGGGGTACGTTTGTCCTCGTAATCCCTTGACCAACCTAGTACCGACACGCAACACCCTTTCTAGTGCCATTTTGTCCCGGACAAGGCATGGTGGACAGGCCTGGACGCAATATTCTAGGTGGGGTCGCACAAACGCTGAGAAGAGCTTCACAAACACATCAGCGGTTAGGGTCCCAAAAGAACGACTGATAAACCACAACATCCGGAACCCTTTACTAGCCGCCTTCTTCCAGTTGTCTCCAGAGTGTAGTGTGGAACAGTGGACGACACCTAGATCAACCTGATGAGTCACGTGAGGAAGTTCACTCCCATCGAGCACATAACTTGTGGAGGAAGCAGACGCTCCGATACGCAGCACTGAACACTTTGCCCGGTTTATGGGCAGCAACCACAAGACAGACCATTCCCAGAGTCTATCCAGAGCCCGTTGAAGAGCCACAGGACCTCCAGGGATATCAACAATATTCCAGAGCTTAGGTCATCAGCAAATAAGAGCGATGGTACCTCAAGCTCCTCCGGCAAGTCATTCACGTAGACTGAGAAAAGCAGCGGACCTAGGACAGAGCCTTGCGGAACGCCGCTAAGTACAGCTTGTCGAAACGAAAGACTGCTTCCCACACGAATACACTGTTCCCGTCCATCCAGAAAAGCTGACACCCACTGGAGAGCGCGACCAGCTATTCCATACGACCTCAACTTCAGTGAGAGTCGCGAATGGGGGACAGTGTCAAAGGCCTTGGCGAAGTCAATGAACACCACATCCACCGCATGTCCACTGTCTACGGCTTCAGCCCAGCACTCACGAGCTACCAGCAAGTTCGTCTGACACGAAAATCCTTTGCGAAAACCATGTTGCTCGACGCTAAGCAGGTTAAACATATTTAAATGGTTCTCCACTATATCTCGTACTAATTTTTCAAGTAACTTAACGACCACGCTAGTCAAGCTGACAGGCCTGTAATTAGCCGGTAGGTCTTTGTCACCGCACTTGAAAATCGGGCAGACAACAGCCTCCTTCCATTCGGTAGGCAAGATACAGCTGTTGAGTGACTTCTGAAACACACAAGTCAGAGGTCCACTGAGTTCCACTGCCAATTCGTGCAACAATTTTGGATGAACAGAATCTGGCCCGGAAGCCTTAGTTGGGTTTACCTCTCTTAGCAACCGGAGAACTTGGGACTCAGTTACAGGAATTTCATCCAGACAACAGTCCTCAGAGACTCTTGAAGCTAACTCTTTGCATGGCGTATTTGTTTCGCGGACAAAGACGCTTGAGTACTGCTTACCAAGCACGCATGCCTTGTCATAGTCGCTATAGGCATGGGTCCCATCTCCTCGAAGCAATGGTGGTATGGGCGAGTTTGCACCACAGCGTCGTTTAACGTA